ACAGGTCGTTAAAAATCCGCACAAAGCAAACGAAATAATTGAGTCAGCACTAAAATAAAGTGGATTTATTTTAAAAAAGTAACTTGTTATACCTCCGCGAATCCTCATTAAGGAGAGAACAACACACCAGCACGCTTTTCAGTTGCATACTTTTATAGTAAATGAGACCTTTCCACTTAACTAAAAAAATATACCAGTTCTCGCTTTCAATGGATGCAGAAATGAGAAATAACTATATTTACCACGGATAATATTTTACAAGCAGTCTTTTATTTGACAGTGGATAAACATCGTTAGGCTTCTTTATGAATCCCTGTATCTTCATTTTGATTGCACATAAATCAAAATCGAAGTAATATAATATGAACTAGCATTGACCGCGGCTCCGCCCGCGTTTAGATGACCAAAAAGCAAATTCTTTGGTTTTACATATTGGTATACTATTACAATGCAGTTTTTGTATTTTTTATCAGAAATCAGGTATTTTCCTGCGGTATAAAGTATCCTATATGTTGACCCGGATAACGAGCTATCACCATACCAAATTTCATCAAAATCCCTTCAGTGGTTTTTCTGTGATGCGGTAACAGACAGAACGACAAATATTCTAAAATCTATAGATTCGATCTCTGTATCGATAAAAATGTTTATATCAATAAGATTTTCCAAAAAATATTTAATGTACAGATTCGGCTTAGTTACATTTTTATTATATGTATAGATAAAGGATTCGCTAAACTTCCTAATAATCATTTAATAGGTATAATAGAACAAAACTATCTTTTCGGATTATTTCGCGGATTTATTTTGATTTTTGGTTCCCGACGTTTCGAATGCTTTACAGCATCCATAGTCACGGGAGAGACTGAGGTGTTACATGTCTTGAATGTATAGTTGTTACAGACAGCCTACCCACAATTAACAAAATGAAAAATGCACCAATTACATTACAATATTTCTAACTTTAAAACATTTTTATAATTTTAATTATAATTGAATATGGAAAATTATTTATTTAATTTTTAAAGCAACACTGCAAGCAGAAATAATCCGAAAAGATAGTTTTATTTAATAATGTCAAACACTCGCGTAAATCTAAGAAAGTATTAGGTATAATAGAACTTAAAAAGATTCATTTTCACCGTTTAATCGTTCTACCTCCAAAACTTAAACTAGGTTTTTGGTACATTGTTAGTCAATAAAACATTTTGTAATAAAGTTGAATTATATGCAAATAGGCCTGTAAATTAGTTATTTTTACTGTAAATATTAAGCTATTTTTACAGTTTTTCTATATAAAATGATGAAGTAATTTACTCGTAGCATAGACATTTTCATCGATGTGTCAAGTTCGAAAGTACAGGATTCTCGAAACGTTTAATTTAATTTGTGTTTTAATTATTACGTTTTAACGTTTAGTGTAGATTATTCAAAGATGAGATATGTTCCCGCAGTAAAAATTATCCTATATGTTGACCCGAATAACCAGCTATTATCATACCAAATTTCATCAATCCCTTCAGTGGTTTTTGATTTCGGTAAAGTGGTTACAGAAAGATAGACAGACAAAAATTTTAAAAACTATAGATTCGGCCTCTGTATTGATAATAGGGTCTATCTATTTCAATAAGATTTTTCAAAAAATATTTAATTACAGATACGGCTTAGTTAGAATTTTATTATATGTATAGATAATAAATATCTTAGCCAAGGTTATTGACCTAGGTGACTATTTGTTCATAAAACATACACAAGTAGAAATAGGACAAGGCATGTGGGAGTAGTTTGCTCCTTTGTAAATAGAATACTTTAGACGTTGAGGCGTGGCCTGAATTTCCTTAGACATGAAATTGTCTGTTCAATAAAACTTTGCATATATTGTTCTTATTTACATTTATCCTATACTATATATATATATATATATACACACATATTATATAGCATGTAGAAATATAACTTAATGTTATTTGCTGTTTGGCCTCACCTGATCAATGAAAGTGAATCTAACTAGATGTTGGCTTATTTGAGTTTTTTAAAACTATAACCTACCGTATATTATAGAAAAGAGAATGAAAGTACTCACTATTTTGTAAAATTTGCAAATTATGCACTTTTTTGGTCATTCATATAAAATTTACATTTTACTAAACAGGGCGTCCTAGCAACACAACGTAAACTGTGGTTTTGTTGTTATACTTTCGGCACCCTTTATCGTGCCAAGATAAAACATTATATACGAATTTTTAAATGCATCTTAAGTTTATGAGCACGAAAAGATTTATTTGAAACGGTCTAATAGTTTTCGTTAAGAAATTTTGGATCGACAATTTAAAATGATAAACAACTAAATATCATACTTAATACATTTTTTATATTTTTGTAAAGAAAGTTATTAAAGTTTTAGAATGCTTGAATATGCCAATAAATATTCATGTCAATTTCTACTATAATTTGCTAACGAAATTTTGAAGCGCTGATATATTTAACGTGTCGGATTAAATGGTCCGCAAAAATGTTTGTTTATTCGCTATCGCTGTTTAACATTTCTCAGCGTATCGACCGGTGTCACTCACCTAGCTCACCTAGACCGAGCTTTTTTGTTGGCAAAGTGTTTTAGTACGCCACTTTAAAAGCTTTCACTAATATTGGTCGTATATTTTTTCAGTTTTAAGCTGTTTTTACATTAAATATGTAGGTATGTATTTAGCTATTTATGAGTTTGAATAATTCAAAAGTTTCAATTCACCAACAGTGTTTAGAAACAGATTCTTCTAATCTAACTTACTTATGTATGTAAGGGCGTTGACCGTTTTAGTCGCTGTGCAAATCTAAAGCTAGAACAAAGCAACATATAAGCTCATCATATATGCTTATACTATCAATATTATAATTTAGAAAGTTTTATCATGATGTTTCCGTGTTTTATATCACTATATACACATTATATTCTCAATAACCATAAGCAGTTGAATAGACCTGGAAATTAAACTTTTACGACCCAGCAATGGTTTTTTTTCTTGATATTTTACAGGACTAATCTCGAAGTTCTTTAAAGTCATTAGAGTTGTGACAGACTGGTTGTTGATTATTTAGGTGTAACTCGCTCGGCTATTCGCCTCCACTCCTTTTTAGTATTCTCGTACATTCATGCAGTGGGCGTCTACTGCCGCTCTGACTTCGTGTTCTCTACCCTTCCTTGCACCACTAAGCATTCGATGGCCACATTATTGAATGACCAAATTAGATTAGGATTCGAGCCTGAACTGTATAGAAAAGACGCTGTTTGATGTAGAGTTATTTGAGGATTTGAAATGTTATTCCACAGTACAGTCCAGGATATTCTCAACATTCTTATCCAGTACTAATTCTCGAGCGCGTCTATCCTCTTCTTTTCGCTCTCTCGTAGGGTCCACGTCTCCGATGCGTAGCGAAATATGGAGAATACAAGTGTTACCATTAAAAATTAATAGACTTTTTTTTAATTATTGAATCTCCAATTTTGACCCTGTTAAATAACATGGCCCTATACATTAGCAATATCCAGCTATAAATATATAGACAAGTCAACTATCTACAATCGATATAGCTAATAGAAAACAAAAATACCTATATGAAAATTCCACGACCACGTGATCTATCGCTTAAATTTGTCATTTCCATATGTATATTTTTATTTTGTTGTCTGAACCAACAGACGACGGATGCAACGTAATTACATATTATAGCTTTTAAATATTATATAAAAAAAATATAGATAAAACTTACATAGAATTAATGTTAAAAATTCGCTCACGATGGCTGGCTTTTAAATTTTTAAAGTACCTATATTAAGATTTATTTTAAAAAGCGGTCTCAAAGATTTGCAACATCTTATCATAAGCTAAACTAGTACTCGCATATGTTATGCATGGAATCCGACTAGAACGAACACTACAAATTCTAAACATTCGCATTTAAGTACACTCGGCGCGAGGGAAGTAATTAAAGCCTTTAAGCAATGAAAGAGATACGTATTCATTTCTATACGTGGTGGTTCCGAGATGGGCAAATGCAAGATTGGATTTTGAGTGTACTTTGGGTATATTCGTAAGATAAAAATAGTTACTGCATTTTAGCTTAAAGATTCATGTATTTCTTTGAAGCTAATATAAAATGTAAGTTTCTAACACACAGAAGAGATATTTTTTCACATTTGACATCTGGTAAAGACTAGCGGCTCACCCTCGGTTTATTCGGGTTCGTTTCTAAGTACGTTTTAACGGTTAGTATGGAACAGGTAAACTATGTATTATATAGCCTAAAGCCTTCGTCAAAAAACGAGCTATCTAATGAAAAAAAAACATAATCGGATTAGTAGTTCCTGAGATTAAACAAGCATTTAAACAAACAAACGAGCAAACAAACAAACAAACACAAACAAACAAACTCTGTCTCTTTATAATATTAGTATAGATTAGTGGAGAACTTTAAAAAGCAAGGACAAATATTTATGTATTTAATGCAAATTAATTGAAATATAATGTGGATATTTATAGCCAGATTGTAACTTTGTAAGAATCTGTGTCACATTCTATCAGAAACGTGAGGCATTAGAGGAATTCTCAACTTTACTAAAGCCGTACTTGTACCACTTACACACTTTTTAGTCTGAGACAATAGACTCTCGTCTAGTAAGAACTGAATATAGGATAGATGTTGCGTTTGTTGCATACGTTTTATTTATAGTTATATGACGTTTTTTCATTCTTCAGATATAATTAACCAGGTAGTCCTTTTATCCAACAAGGCAACTTCGCATATTTTAGAGTATCTATTTATCTCCAGATTAATAAAAATAAAAAAGAATTTTAGGGTAGTCGTACCTGCCATATTTACGTCTACCTCCGTAATGCGCTCTGTTCATGTCTCATTCTTTTTTCTTGCGAGGCAACGTTCGCACGCGCTCAACTATTAACAGTAATAAGTGTTTAAGAAAACTAGTAAAGGAGTACATATTCATAATGCCGAAGAGAACTAAGGGTGAAAAACTTAAATATTACACAGAGAAAATTAGAAAGCTAAACGAAATAAATAATCGAAGGAGTATACGTCGTAGAATTATACAGTCTGAGTCATCAGATGAAAATTCAGGTAAGTGACCAGTAAGGTTACTGTTACGCATATAAGTGTGACTGCGAGTCAATATATTTATACGCATACATAATATTATGTATTTTTTTTTCCTGAGTTTAGCCGAGAGTTAAACAAAGGAATACGTTTCTTGAATATTGGCCGAGAGTCAAATGTCAAGACTAACAAACATGTTAAAACATGTTTTATTTGTATTGCAGATGTCGAAACGCAATCGCAATATAACCAAAACGAGGGTAGTTTACCACGCGCTGTATTAATAGACGACGAGATAATGGAACGTGATATTAGGATGGAAGCTGTAGATACTCCCCAGGTTGAAATGGGGACTCCAGAGGTTGCATCGCATCCAGAACTAACGTTCGAATACTTGCAAGCTCTCGGGGACGCCGTCGATGAGGTGCCGCAATATGGAGAGGAAATCCATAGTAACTTAGCGCAAAGGTGGCTGCCATTACTGCGTAAGGGCTTACCAAAGGATACACGAGATGTTATATTTAAGCCGTATATAATACCAAGTAATTGTAAATTATTAAAGGCGCCTTCGTTAAACGCTGAAATATCGGCTGCTATTACTGAATCACTTAAAACACGAGATAAAAAATTTGAAAATTGTCAACAACAATTAGGTATAGGTATTACTGCCATTAACAGGGCATTGACGTTATTACTAACCGGTGGTGATCAAATACAGTCAATAAAGATATTGTCAGATGCATCTCGTATTTTATGTGATTTACACTATCAAAATACAGAAACTAGGATTAGATTATTAACACCTAGTTTGGACAAATCTTTGTTAAACATTATCGAAAATAATCATGATGAGACGCTTTTCGGTGCCAGCCTATCAGAAAAAATTAAAGCGGCAAAAATTATAGAAAAACAAGGGCTTTCTATCAAGAAAAACGTTTCCTGTTACGAAACCATCTACATCCTTTTTACGACCGCGGCCGGAAACTGGACAGGCCCTCCCCGGTTCCCGTCGAACAGGGGGGGCGTACAGCACCGCGGCGGCGACGATGACGTCAGCGGCGCGACGGGCATTGGCGGGGAACACACCACAACCGCCGTCGCAAGCGCGCTTCAGCCATCCAAACAGGCAACGTGCCTTTCCGACGCATCGACGTTAACACAGGTACACGCAGGCCGTTTACAGTTATTTTATAATTGTTGGTTATCGATTACAGATAACTCGGTCATTTTAAATGGATTCGCGAAGGGATTTCTATACCACTTGCCTGTCGGGTATTGCAAGGTTCCCCTCCAACATATACGTTAAATAAATCAGAACAAGAAAGTATGCAATTAGAGATTGACAAATTACTAAGCTTAGGAGCTATATCTGTATGTTCTCCAGTTTCGGGTCAGTATATTTCAAAAATATTCTTGGCACCAAAACCTAATGGACAAAAGAGGTTTATTTTGAATTTAAAGTCTTTTAATAAATATATATATAAATCTCATTTTAAGATGGAAGACCATAGAACAGCAACGAAGTTAATAATGGAAGGAGCGTTTCTAGCAACAATAGACTTAAAAGAATCGTATTTTTTAGTACCGTAGCACACAATTATCGTAAATTTTTTAAGATTTAATTTTAAAAATTCTAATTTAAAACAATTCACCTATGAATTCAATGGTATGCCTTACGGTTGTCTGTGGCGCCAAGAATATTTACAAAAATAATGAAGGAAGTAGTGAAGTACTTAAGAAATCTAGGATTCATATCCGTTATTTACTTAGATGATATACTGTGTATCGGCAGTAATTACGATAATTGTTTAAAAAATGTACAGACAACATTACGAGTTTTAGAATGTTTAGGCTTTGTTGTAAACTATGAAAAAGAGTTGTATCGAACCGAAACAAAATTGTAAATTTTTAGGTTTTCATATTTAACACTATAGATATGCGTATCTCTTTGCCTATGGATAAACGAAATAGTATAGCACAGTTAGTCGATAAATATTTACAGTTACCAAATTGTAGTATTCGTGAGTTTGCGCAATTTATTGGAACCCTTACTGCAGCTTGTCCAGCAGTTAAATATGGCTGGTTGTATACAAAATTATTCGAGAGACAAAAATTTCTAGCTCTAAAGAATAGTCACGACTATGAAGCTAAAATTAAACTTTCTACAGGCATTTTATCAGACTTACTATGGTGGAAATATAACATATATCGAACGGATCATTACATGAGAAAATCAAATTTTGATTTAGAAATTTTTTCAGATGCTTCTCGAACTGGCTGGGGCATTTTTTTGTAACAGTCAAAGAACAAACGGTCTTTGGAAGGATAGTGAAAAAATATATCATATTAATTACTTAGAATTGCTGGCGGCCTTCTTTGGTTTAAAATGTTTTGCTAAAACTAAGACTAATTGTGCTATATTATTACGTGTTGACAATACAACCGCTCTCAGTTATATTAATCGCTTTGGCGGAATACATATCCGCATTTAAACAAATTAACTAGGCTGATTTGGCAATGGTGCGAGAAGCGCAATTTGTGGTTATTTGCCTCTTATATAAATACTAAGGATAATATAGAAGCAGACGAAGAGTCTAGAAGACAAAATCAAGATATAGAATTCGAACTTAGCCGTAATTGTTTTAAGATGATAGTTGAAAGATTCGGGCACCCACAAATAGACTTATTTGCTTCTCGTACCAATACCAAGTGTAAAAGCTATATATCTTGGAAACCAGATCCAGATGCTGTGAATGTCGATGCTTTTACAATTAATTGGAAACCATTTTTCTTTTATGCTTTTCCACCTTTTCCAATAGTTTTAAAATGTTTAGAAAAAATCATTTCTGATAATGCAAGGGGAATTCTAGTATTTCCTTATTGGCCTTCACAGCCTTGGTTCCCTTTATTATTAAAATTAAAGGAATCAGATATTTTCATTATAAATAATGGCCTTTATATTAGGTCGCAAGAGCAAGGACAACGCCTCTCTCCTACCCTGGGAGCAGCGATACTTTGCGGCTCGCATTCTCCAGGCGTGGTGTGCCCGACCAAGCACTAGATCTAATCTGCGCTTCACTATCTGCAAATACGATTCGTCAGTATAGCGTAACATTTAAAGTTTGGTGGGAGTTTTGTATTCTAAATAAGTTTAATCCTCTGGAACCTTCAGTTCATGCTGTAATATCATTTATAACACATCAATATAACCGGGGAGATTCCTATGGATCTATTAGTACTCATCGATCGGCGTTGTCCTTACTGCTAGGGCATGACGTAGGTACAGATGATCGTATTTCAAGAATATTAAAAGGTGTGTACAAGTTAAGGCCCAGTGTACCTAAATATAAAAACACTTGGGATCCACAAGTCGTTTTAAGTAAATTAGAGACGTGGTATCCTAATTCTGAACTTAGTTTAGAAAAACTTACGAAAAAACTTGTAATGCTGCTAGCTTTATGTACTGCACATAGGTTGCAAACATTTTCTTTGATAAAGATTAATAATATTAAATGTTTTGCGAGTGTAATTAAAATTTATATAATTGATATTATTAAAACATCAAGACCTGGTAAAGATCAGCCAATTTTAAGCTTGCCTTTCTTTTTAGAAAATCCAAGTATATGCCCGGCTAAAACATTACAGGAGTATATTGCTAAAACAATAAATTTAAGACCTAGTAATGTAGAAAATTTATTGATTACTTTCAAACGACCTCATAAAGCTGCCACTGCCCAAACTATAGGTCGCTGGCTAAAACAGACAATGGGGGAATGCGGGGTGGATGTGGCGGTGTTCAGCGCGCACAGCACGCGACACGCCGCCACCTCCGCCGCACACTCCTCCGGCGTGTCTATTGACGTGATACGTAAGACAGCCGGTTGGACTGCTACATCTCAAACATTTGCTAGATTCTATCAACGACCTGTAGAGGAACGGGACAGCTTTGCGAGGTCTGTCTTTTTTTTCTTAGACTTATTTCATGTATGATATTCATTATAATAACTTGAATAAAACATTTCTAATTTCATTATAATTTTTATTTTTATAATAGCAAAACTTATTAGTATTATCTATAAACATCTACCTGGTTAATTATATCTGAAGAATGAAAAAACGTCATATAATAAACGATCAAACGAACTTACCAAGTGAAGTTCGATCATTATTATATTAGTTTTTTCATTCGAAGATATAAATACCCACCCACCCATAACCCTAAAGTTTTGCTGCGTTACATACTATAAAAAGAATGAGACATGAACAGAGCGCATTACGGAGGTAGACGTAAATATGGCAGGTACGACTACCCTAAAATTCTTTTTTATTTTTATTAATCTGGAGATAAATAGATACTCTAAAATATGCGAAGTTGCCTTGTTGGATAAAAGGACTACCTGGTTAATTATATCTTCGAATGAAAAAACTAATATAATAATGATCGAACTTCACTTGGTAAGTTCGTTTGATCGTTTATTATATGAATTTTATCTTTAGAGAAATTTAATGAGAAATCGTATGCTATATTTAAAAACAGCTATGGTTTCTCAGTTTTAATAAAAGAGTTCTTTAGTTTTATAAAAACCAATCCGAGTTTAAATTATAGACATTGTCAAAGAAATTCGATAACATCATATAATATCTGCAGCAGAAAGCAAAACGTTTCCGGTTTCTACACGTGCTTACTCTAAAATTAAAATAGGTCAAATTGTAAATAGTTAATGATTAAAATAATCACATGTTACAGCTGTTGACTGCTTCACCAACACACAAAGACATTTGAGCCCTTTATTCGAGAAATCGTTTAAAATACCATTACTCGAATCGAGCAAAAGAAGTTTTCTGAAAAGAGAGTTAGACGACATAACGTTTGATAATTAGAACTCAAAGCCAACCGTGCTATGTCCACAGTCCATGTGAGTGCGCTATTTTTACACAGCTAAATTTAACAGCGTGTCACAGCGCGCGACATCGCTTCAGCGGTTAAAGGAAACACAACCCTATTTACCACCGATATTAATACTTGTACTTCGAAAGATGTAAATAGGGCAAATGAAATGTATACGATATAAATATATTCACTTGTCAATACACTCGACTCAACACGACATTTAAAATTAGATATCTAAGCCAGCAATACTGTTTGTGATACTTAAAATATGCAATATCCTGAATCGATTTGTTTTTTTTTTAATTTTCTATAACAACGGCCAATATTATCCGTATTATTCCGTATTAATATTGTAAATGTGAAAGTTTGTGAGTATGGATGTTTGTTACTCTTTCACGCCAGAACGGCTGAACGGATCTGGACGAAATTTGGCACAGAGATAAATTATAGCCTGTAATAACACATAGGCATACTTTTTATCCCGGAAAAATGTACGGTACCCGTGGGATAGGTTTGTTTTTGTTTTCCTAGAGGCGAACCCGAACGAAGCGAGAGTGAGCCGCTAGTTAAAAATATATTTATTAATAGTATTATTAAAATTGAATACTACTGCTTTCACGAGATATGTTATTAATTATTAATATAAACGGTAAAACAAATCTCTAAACTTTATTTTTAGATTATAATAATATATGTATAGTGAAAAAAAATGAAATAGAATTTTACACATAATCGTAACTTAAGTAATAAATCGTAGTAATATGGATCTTTGATACACAACTCACAAGTCCGATAAGGTAAAATAATCTCTTACTTGACCGATATTTTTCTTCTAATTTTGCCACAACTTCTGTGACACAACGATAAAATTGCTCACAGAATGTAAAAATATATTATCTAGACCGCAATAAAGGCTCACACGCCGATCGAGGGACGTAAAAGATAAAACCTAAAACCAGCGCGTCAGAAATGTTCGGTAAAAACTTAACAAGAATATCGTTGTAGTACTACAACTTATTAAGTTCATGGATATACCTATAATAAATATATTTTGGCCTTTAATTATTACCAATATTATCAATTAATCTATTTTATCTGAAGTGTTGTAGGTTCAAAAAAAAAATATTTATTAAAGGCATTTATTATTATTTAGGCAGTGGTAACGAGCTCGCTTGGAAAACCGAGTGAAGCTGGTTCAAATGCCGGGTCTCGCACCTCTGATATTTTCATGTGCTAATCATTTCTAAAATGATTACCAATTGCCTTACAGTGAAGGAAACCATCTTGAGGAAACCTGTATGTCTGAGAGAACATAGCAAGTTTCCGAAAGACGTTCACATGTCCGCCAACCCGCACTTGGCCAGCGTGGTGGATTATGGCCTGATCCCTCTCGTTTTGAAGGGAGGCCCGTGCCCAGCAGTGGGAAGTTATAAAGGGCTGAATACATACATTACTCTTAATTTAGTCGTACCCCTTGACAGTCCCTTCGTAAGATCACTTAAGGTAGGTACTGAGATATACATATACTAAAACATTCGGCCCAAAAAATGACAAAACCTAGACAAATTAGAGTAAGTTGAAAAATTCCACTTATATTCCATTTATTTGTACACAATTCCTAGTCAAGCTAATATAAGCTCGTTGAAAATTTCTCATTCGAACAGATGAATAATAATGATCAAAACGTACTAAACTGAGAGAGAATCCGCAAACATCCAACCCCTTTCAGTTTAAGCTTAATTATAATGTAAATAGCGTTTCAGACGGAAGCAATCCGGCCCGCATTGTTCGAGTACAATGCGCCGGCTCGCACAAACGCCGTTGCAATATGAAAGCTCTAAACATTCCCAATTTTAAGTAAATCTTACAGAGTTCTACTTGTGTTTTTTACGTTGACGTGTTTTAACATTCCTTGTAGCAAAAAATACTGCTTGTTTTAAGTCTTCATCTACATTATCAATAATGGAGATCTCACTAGAAATCTCATCTCACTAGCGCTCGCATCGATCTGGTTACTCCAGGCCATAGTATATATATATTTGTATTAATGTAACTCCATTCAAACATTTCCGCGTGAAGAATTAGTAACATACGCACATACATACATACATACATACATACATACATACATACATACATACATACATACATACATAGAACAATCCAATTTATATCATAATAGTATTCCGATTACACCAAGAGATCGAATGACAATATTTATTCCATCATTATTTTATTATTGATAAATTAATCAAAAATTGAGAGATAAAAGACAAAATGTAAAAATATAAAAAGCGAAGCGATAATATTGTTTTTAGTATACCTCATAATTTATAAAATTCCAACATAACATTGTGCATTTGAATATCGCAAAAATGAACCAATTTTTATATTCACACCGTTCCGTATGAAAGGAATATTTATTTTATGACTTGAAATATTTAAGTCGAATACAATTTGTTTGTGAAAGCCAGTAGAGCCGTAAATATTGCTTTGATCGAAGCGCCGAACAGAATCCACTTGGATGCCTTCCAAATAGGCCCCACAGACAGACGAGGGTGCCACCCTTTATACAAAACCTATACATTATGATAATCAATTTAGTATAAGTTTATGCAAACTATTGAATATTTATATTTTATATGCATTTTCAAGATTGCCTTTCTTACTACGATTGTTTCCATTAAATGGCACTCTTTATTCTTGATACTTGATCTTAACCAAATACTCCCCATAGTTTAAATAGCGTAAGGAAATGGTTTTGCATATCGGGCCTTTTTTTAAGTAATTTTAATCAATTAAAAAAATACAATCTTTTGTACTAAAAATATTTCGTAGTACTTTAATAAACATAACGCATAAGAGGATGAAATAGACACAGCTAAGTTCTTAAACTTTTATTTTTAAATAGCTAGCTTTAGTGCTATTCTTAAGAAATTGTTACAAATACTTTAGCTTTTAAGTTAATAAGTGTTCTTATGATTCGTATAAACCAATAATGAAAAGTGGGACAATATGAGGGCGAAGCACTGACTCCATCAACAGACTAATAGGGTGCAAAGGTCAAGGGAAGAAAGCCCACATGCGCAAAGCTGATATTTATATTATTGAAATGCTTCCAATGCTAAACAATACTATTCATAATTCATAAGCCATTTAAGAATACAAATGGAAAACGACGACTACATTTGTTATATAACATGATTACTCGTAGGCTTACTTGAAGTATCTTTTCTAAAGATGGCTTTTCTATAAATATTTCGATTTATAATGCAAGAATAGTACAGAAAAAGCTTTATTTACGAAACATATTCGTTGTTTACGGCGTTCGGTGATCTGTTCACCAATAGGTTCGCTTAGAAACTATTGGTATAGATTTCGTTTATGTCATACTAGCATTGCCCGCGGCTCCACCCGCGTTCTGATGACCAAAAACCAAATTCTTAGGTTTTACATATTAGTATACTCTTACATTGCAGTTTTTGTATTTTTTCTCAGAAATGAGACTTTTTCATTATATCTAAAAATATCACATATACCAGAGTTATAGATCAACTAGCATTGCCCGCGGCTCCGCCCGCTTTCAGATGACCAAAAACCAAATTTTTAGGTTTTACATATTACTATACTCTTACATTGATTTTGTATTTTTTCTCAAAAATGAGATATTTTCCCGCGGTAAAAAGTATCCTATATGTTGACCCGGATAACCAGCTATCACCATAACAAATTTAATCAAAATCCATCCAGTGGTTTTTCCGTGATGCGGTAACAGACAGACAGACAGACAAAAATTCTAAAAACTATAGAATCCGCCTCTGTATCGATAATAATGTTTATTTCAATTAGATTTTCCAAAAAATATTTAATGTACAGATTCGGCTTAGTTACAATTTTATTATATGTGTAGATTAAAGCAAAAAGTATGCTTTGTACAATAGTACGTCACAGATAAATAAACCTTACCGTCAAAATAGGGACGGAAAAGACAAAAAATATATAGGTATATTATAATAAAAAAAAATAGTTCATAGGAAAACGTAATACTACACTATTCATGTTTCTTTATCATCTACCTACCTAAGTTATTTTAGTTCTTAATGAATTATCTATTTAATTCACCATTTTATACCAATTAATCATTATATATTATGTTTTATTAAACGATGATATTACTTCAAAAACAAAATACAAAATGGTAGTAAAAGTTAATAACTTTTAAATTACGTTCGAAAGTGGCAGCTTAAAAAGGCATTTCAGTCACGTAATTTATAACATGTCACAGCGTGTCACATATAAAGAATCCTCGCATTTCTCTCAACGTTCATGGAATTCTACATTCATTATTTCACTTTAGTAACTTACAGATATACCTAATATGTTATAGCTTAAGAACGTATCATCAATTTTATTTGACTCTACAATCTACATATAATGTGAAAGCCCACTTAAGGAAATTAAAGACTTATAAAGCTTATCGGCAGCGCTGGATTTAAACTAGGGGCACTCGGGGCTAGTGCCCAGGGCGGCAAAATTCGGAAAAAAATTTTCTTCGCGTTATCGAAAATGCTTTTATTTTCCAAAAAATTAATAATTAAAAAAATAACTAGGATATTTTTCGAAAAATTGAAATCATTTTCATCATCATATCATCATAAATATTTTTTATCATAAATATTTTTTTGTATTTTCCAAAAAAAAATTATAATTAAAAAATTGAAACTTTACCTATTTTATGCAACATTTCAATAATAGGGTAGTACTTTTTAGTATGCCCGGGGGCGGAGCTAAGGTTAAATCCGGTACTGGTTATCGGTAAAGACAGTATCGGTCAATTACCAAAGTTTTTACACGCTTTCTACGTAACATTAGTACACAGTCTTTGTTTTCGTAAATATAAACAACTAGCGGCTGACACTCGCTTCTCTTGGGTTCGCCTCTAGGAAAACAAAAACAAATCTATCCTTCAGGAATTGTATATTTTTCC